TTTTTAATTTATTTTTAATTTATTTTAATTTATTTTATTTTAAAAATAAATTTAAATTTATTTTAAATTTATTTAAATTTGTAATTTGGCTGTGTTGCTTTTTTGTTTGCTATTTTGCTTTATTTTGCTTTATTTTATTTTGCTACTTTGTTTGAATGTTAGCGTCTGATAGCATACTTCTTTGCATGATATTGTATGAAATGTGAAAGAAAAGAATGTCTTCGAGTGAGGATATTCGGTGTGCTTGTCTTGGTTAACCACTTAAACGGCTGGAGAGCAACGCTATCAACAGCAGGAAACATCTGGGAGAAAAAATGGGGAAGTTCATTGGAAGGATCTCACGTGAACACCTCGGATATGACTTCCCCGCAGATTCAGGAAGCGGGTTTCTCATATATGAATGAACCAATCCGGCGTGGAAGAAGGGCGAGGGGGCATGTTGGCAGCCAATTGGAGAGCCCGACCCCTTGATGTGGGACGGCCACCTGGATCCCCCCCACCCATAAAAATGACCTGTGTGGTGGGGCCGACCCAAAGGCTGTTACTCGGTCGAGAGAGGCGGTGATCGCAACCTCCTTGCTTCCTGCATCTTCAGCCCACTTCAGCTTGGTAATTCGCCTTAACTTTGGCCCGTGACGCCTCAGACTGCTTCTGTCCTTTTAGTGAGTTGAAGTCTTCTGTCTCACTTGCTGCTTAGCAAAAGTGGATTGAATTCGATTGGTTTTATTCCTCGTCGCTCCTCTACTAATACGGGAAGTGGGTTTGCGCGGGGCTTCTGCAGACATGGAAATGGGAAGAGGGGAAAGGAGGTCAGCAGCAGGAGCAGGAGGTTAGTTTCGCGGGAACATCAGCTGTGCCAGGGGGGCGTAAGTGAGGCCGAGGGGGGACTCCGCCCGACGGCAGCCTGGAGGTGGAACGTAGTTCGTTAAGGTGCTCTTGTTGGCTTAATCATCTGGGGAGAGAGCTGGTTTGCTGCACTGTCTGGCGAGTAAAGTACGTTGCGGCCATAGTATAAACCCGTGTTTTTCAGTCTCGGCGACTTGAAGATGTGCGGACGCAATTCTGGGAGTTGAAGCCCACGCATCTTAAAATTGCCAAGTTTGAAAAACGCTGGTATAAACCTTCGGGTTTATTAGCTGAATGGGAGTAGCCTCAAGCATCGGAAACCAGACGCCCCCAGGGATTAATTTAACTTCCCAGGCTTTGTAAAACTCTTTTTACAAAGAGGGTTGCGGGGTTTTTTGCTTGAGAATCTGGCGCGTCCTCCCACGTTCGATCTCGGGGTGCCACTGGAACGATAGAGACGACGCAGGCAGAGCGCCCCCGACTGGCTCCTTTGCTAGGCTCCGTTTGTGTAGGGGCGCACTTCCGGTCACTCTTGGCTGGAGGAAGGGGGGGTCATTTTCCTCTTGCCTCTTTCAGGGCGGGGGGAGAGGAGCCTGAAATTACCTCCCCGGCCTCGCTTCGGCCAAAATTGGGCGCCCAGGCTATAATAAGCGATGGGAACTGAAGGCAGCCCGGATTTTTTAATCTGAATTATTTCGAACACCGTTGTTATTTGCAGTGATTAATAACCCAGGCCTTCCATAGTGTGCAAGCAGAATAAGTCTAAAGTGAAGCTCCCTTGTGTTGAGAAGGCTTCTCTCTGACTGGATCCGAGTAGAAAAGGAGGAGGAAAGGTGAATTCAGGACAACAATTTGCCCGGGATGGCCTGAGGATTCTTGCACTGGGCAGGAGGCTCGACCAGAAACCTCTAAAACAAGTTGGTTGGGATTCCCTGCAGACAAAATTTGGCTCAAAGACTCTGCTGAGCTTTCCTTACAAGGGCATATATGGGGAGGGAGGGAGGGGGG